TCCTAGCGCTCGCGCCACCGGCGCTGCTGCAAAAATACCCAAGTTACCGGCGCCCGTGGCGCGGTCGCCAGGAGTTTCGGGCTAAGCGAATGTGATATTCGTATTCAGGAGGTCAAACTACCCCAGGAGACAACATTTGAGCCAAATCTGTCCACGGAGAAAAAAGTCGGTCAAAAACTGGCTCATTTCGGATGACTGGGGCAGTAAAGGGTAAATAGTGCCGAAATTTCTAACTACTAACTAGTGAATGAAGGATAAAGTCTTCGGCGTAACCAGTCCTTTGTATGGATACGGCACGCATTCTATTCATTGAGAATCGTATTGGTCGATTGAATGCGATATGGCCTTTACAATGATTTGCAGTGGCCAACCGATGTCCCAGTCAGTGTCGTGATCCTCCAGACGAATTTGACCAATTTACCTCCCGGCGTAGAAGGCCTGGATGGCCTGGGCAGGAGCCGATAGGGGATTTGATCCCTGATGGACGATGCGCATGGCAAGCGTGCCACTTGCCACTACACACCTGCGCCTCTTTTTTTTGATATATGTGTATATCACTGCTATTGCAAGGTCTAACGAGTGCTGAGTCAACATTGTTTCTAGACCAGGGCGCATCATTGGCTGGGGATTTTAGCCGAGTCCATGCGACCCCTTTTTAGGGAGTTGGTTGGCACGACCCCTCCCCCGGTTCCCAGCTCATCGAGATGTCGAAGGAGGAGGGAAAGGAGAGGGAAAGAGGAAAAATCAAGTGTCAGGCAACCTTTTTCACCCTCCCGCCGAAGCGAACAAATACGACCGCCCCCCTCCCTGTTATTGGGGAATCCCCAACAACGATGTGCCTGGTTTGAACGCTGCTTGTACTGGATAACACCTGGCTAGATTCATATTAGCGTTATCGTATCGTATCAAAAGATGCCATCCGCCAAACTATGCGCAGCGTTCCCACTAAAGGATTCGCATCAAGACTTTTTGAAGAATCAATCGAAAAACTCTCCAATTGTCCTTGACTTACTCACAGGTCAAACAAATCATGAAAGGCGTCCTTGTCGTAGACTTTAGGAGTTTTTGGACGATCAGGCGAATATGCCGAATGCTGAATCTGAATGTGTTTCTAGAAAGTTTTGATTTGAAATCGCTAGTTCTATCATAAAAACTGTTCACTGTATGCCTAACCTCGTTTACATTATTCGGAATGTCTTCAAGTAATCGAACATAGCTTCTGGGGAAGATTCCGATTTCTCCGAGATGATTAGTGCCTTCTAGCCAATTTTCGTCGATTTCCCTTCGTAGAGTCACCAATTCACCCTGAACGAAAGTTAGTAGCTTCGAGAACACGAACAAGAAGGATTTGGAGGATCATACCCATAACCTACACCTAGAAATCTACTTCGGTATCTAAAACTGCATTAAATACGCTTGACCATGATT